TTTTTTCTATTACTAGTCTTCTTCTTTTAACTACTTCGTCTATCCTATCAAATATTCCTTCTCCTCTTTTAATAGCTTGTTCATATGTTTCATTATCTTGTTTCTCAAATATTTCATTTTTAATACATCCTAAATAATATTGATATTGTTTAGTAGTATCATCAATTGATTGATAAATACTTGGAAGTGTTTCTACTACTTCTTTAATTAATTGGTTATTCATCACTGATTCCATTTTAATTTAATGAATATCAGATTAAAATAAGATGATTAAATAACTAAATACACGTTTATAACACATCATTTTATTTATTATTTTATTATTTTAATAAACATCATTTCATTTTTATTGTTTTAAATAACAATAATAAAAACAAAAATTAAATACCACAAAATTTCAATTCAATCTTTAATCACTGGATGAGCTAGAAGAACTTGAAGAAGAAGTCATTGGTTGATTTTTTTCTGGTTGAGAAGGACTTTGTATAGAGCCATTTTGAGAATTTTGTTGGAGGGGGTCTATTTGTTGTTCTTCAGAAGGGATAGATTGTTCTTGAGCACTAGAAGGGACAGAAGGAGTAGAATTAGAGGAGATGTCACTTCCATTCATTTTCTTTTCTCCTTCAACATTAAGGGCATATCTAATGTCTTCACCCCAAGACTCGATGATAGTTAAGATATCAGCAAATTTAGGTCTATCCTCTGGGTTTTGAGACCAACATTTAGTTGTTAATTCCCAATAATTATCAGGAATACCATCGGGCTTTTCTAATCTATTACCTTCAATAACAAATTGTGGAATCATCCATGGTTGATTAAATCTTTCATCTCCATCATATGCATTATGTTCTACATATGTTTCATATAATACAATACCATAGGCATAAACATCAACTGGATATGAATAGTCAGTAGAATTTTGAAGACATTCAGGTGCCATATAAGTAGGTGTTCCAATACCTTGTGATAATTCTTTAGCACTCAAATTTCTTTCAGAAATATTTCTACAAGTACCAAAATCAGTTAATTTAGCACAAACTGGTGAACGAGGATTTAGTGAGAAAACTAACAAATTTTCACCTTTAACATCTCTATGAATAATTGAGTTTTGATGAAGATAAGATAATGCAACAGCCATATCATCTAATATTTTAACTTTTAATTGATAATTAATGATTTGTTTTCCCCAAATCTTACTTAATGATCCATACTCTGCAAATTCTGTGACAATAGCAATTTCTCCTTCTGTATAAACTGCTCCAATTAATTCCACAACACAGTTTTGTCTTAGTTGTGTCATCATAGATACTTCATGATTAAATTCTTTTTCTTGTTCTTGTGTTAAATTTCTTGCTTTCATCTTTTTAATAGCAACTTCTCTTCCTCTATAAGTTCCTCTAAATACCATACCAAAAGCACCTTCACCAATTGGTGGCATAATTGGTTTAAGTTCGGTATGATCTAATTTCAAAGATAAGTCAGATTCAATAGTAATACTAAACTTAGCAGTTTCTTTATTTTGATCATCAACGTCCATAGCAGAAATACCAATATTATCACTGACAGAAGCAGTACATAACATTTTAATTTTAAATGTAACTTGAATAGCAGTTCCTGGTTTTAATGTAGCACTTTTTGGATTAATTTCTAAGTCATATCGATGAGATGGAGTATAATGGAATTCGAAATAATATTCTTTCTTTGACATATTAGCCAAATTAACTGTTTCTTCATATTCTTGATCAACAATTGCTTTAGATTTAGCCAAATTAAATGTTAATTCCCATTTATCTGTTTTTAATGGGAATTTTTCATTATCTGCTTCAAGAAGAATTAATTCAAGATCTGATGATACATGGAATGGTTTAATTGCTGCAGTTTCTGCTTTAACACTTCTTGATCTTCTCCACCAAATAATACCTATAAGTACAAGAAGAAGTATAATAATGATAATAACAGCTACTATTACTAATGGAATAATTAATGCCCAATTAGTTTTTGAACATGACATTGATCCTGCATCTAATTTGTATCCATCTTCACATGTAGCACATTTATCTCCTGAACATGTAGCACAATGTTTTAATTCATTACATGGAGAACATTTACCATTTTTAACATATTGTTCAACACTAGGACATGATGTACAAATTGGCATTTGATTAACTGAACTATATTGACAAGTTTTACATTCAGATGGACATAAACTACAATTAAATGCTGATTCATCATCTAAGTTAATCCAATATCCATCATTACAAGTTGTACATCCATTGGCATCAGCTTGACATGTCATATTAATATCACTTTTTGGTCTACATAAACTTTCATTTTTATCATTATTAAAGTCTTTTGGTAAGAAATAGTCATTATTACATGACAAACATGAATTACTATTCTTACAAGTAGCACAAGATTTATCACAACTAATACATTTCTGTGAACTACTT